TTAAAATGATTAAAATATCTGCTATTGCCATATTTAGAATAAGATGATGTAGATTTTTTCTCGCAGTATATCTAAGCGCCATAACAACGATAGCCATGTTACCAAAGACRCCTAAACCACTAAATAGTATTACAGCCATTGCCTGGATTGTACGCTCAACTACAAAAGTACCTTCGGCGTAGACTACCTCGAAAACATACGTACTTCCAGGGCCAGAAGTTGAATTCATGATCGGTTTACTAGAAAACTGGCACTGGAAGCCAAGTTTCTTTAGCAGATATCTCGCTTCGTTTTGTTTGTTGTCGATATACTGCAGCGATATGTGGATTTATCTCCGGCGAGAAGTTTAATTAAAGTGACGCTCCATTTTAATTTTATTTGTATTGTTTGATTATATATCTYATTAAAAAGAACACCCATTGATCTCTTAATTTGTATGAAATGTATACATGATATATGAGATTCAATAAATACTTATCATGACAGGTGATATGGCCTATAGTTGAAATCTCAATATCACCTCCAATGTCAACRTTCTCCGGTAAGTTGTCAAATTAAAGTCATCTTCTGATTCACTTTTAAGTTTTGCTTGATTGTATTTTATGAAAACGAACACATACGAATAGGCAATGCAGCGATGCCATTTTGTACATTTAAGTATGCGATTTTAAACCGCGAACTTTTGATAGACYCTAAAAGTCGTTTATATAATATTTACTTTGTCGAAACGGCACAACTACTTCTATTTCTGAACAGAAAAAGGAAAGATTTATTGTATTAACGATAACTAAATGATTAATRCATTTGTAACATGTGATATGCACTTTTGATACGAAATAAAGACTACCACTACTTCTACTAGAGCAAACGCAGGAAAACCATGAAATAAAACCAAACTAAATACTAACAAATAGCGGCTATTTAGAGAAAATTTCTCAGCACCAATATACCAGAACATAATGAAGATGAATCCACACATGGGACCATTTTTAAATTCATCTTGATTGCGTTCTGGTTCATTGGTACTGACAAATTGTCTCTAAATAGCCGCTACTTGTTACTATTTAGTTTGATATTATTTCATGGTTTTCTTGCGTTTGCTCTACTATGAGAACTCAGTTTTAAAAGAGGACTT